TTTAAATTATAAATTTTTTTTTTAAAGGGATAAAAAAAAAAAAAAGAAAACTAATGAAATCTCATGCATTTGGTCCAATTAACGTTGTCTATTTGTTTTTAAACCAAATTTTTTTTTTTTATTAATTTAAAAAAAAAAAAAAAGAAAATTTTTTGGGATTTACATTTAAAGGTTAATAATAAAAGGTACACATCATTGGGTAGTATCCATCGATGGAAAGCCATGTGGATTTTTTCCAGTTCATAAAATTCATTTCTATTGAGTATAATAAACGGGGGCAAGTTTAAAAAGGTATTTTCACGGTCGATTTACATATTCTTGTTGTTTTTTTTTTTTTTTTTTTTCTAAGGTTTTCGTTAAAAAAAAAAAAAAAAGGTCGACAACCATAAGGTCGTATAATGCTATATATTTCAAAATGTGCAATGATTTACAATATAGAGAATACACGTCGTGTGTCCTGTGACAATCTCGAAATTTAAAAAAAAAAAAAAAGATTTAAATAATTTTGGAGTCGTTTAATTTTTTGCTACGAGACATTTTGCTAATACGTTTTTTTTTTAATTAAAAATAAAAAATTGAACGAAAACTTAAACCGGGGGATTAAGGGATTAGGGTTATTATAAAGGTTATTATTTTTTAATTCTAGTAAAATTGTATTCAATGCAATTCTTTTATTTTTTATTGTTTATTATTTTTTAATTAATTTTTTTGATCATCAATTATAATTAGTTTTATTTGTAACAACTAATTTAAGATACTTAATTTCCGGAATTCAACTGATTTTTACGGTTTTTTCGTTTCACGACTATGAAAAATTATTAAAATAAATGAAAAAAAAAAAAAAAAAAAAACTAATTGAACCGACACGTTTAAAAATAAATTAAAACAAGTCATTTTCAAGATATATATATGGGGATATGTAAGCCACATAAAAAGAATTCGGTCATTTTTTTTTTTTTTTTTTTTGTGGAGGAAAAAGTACCAAATGCAAGTACACAAATACTACTACTACTACCACGTACGTTTACGCCCCTTATTGAAATGATCGACCAATAAAAAATAACTTGCGGGAAAACATGCGAGGGAATATTTTCTAGAAGGGTTCGACTATAGTATTAAAAACAGGTATTTTCAACACAGGACAACCAATGAGATGCCGTATTTTTTTTTTTTTCTTCTATGAGAGGCGTGGAAAGTTGGACCCCGTTTTTGGTATCGTTTGGAAATACCCTAAACTATGAAGAGACAAGGCAGTGAGTAGTAAGAAATCGTCGTGCGTGGTCATTCGTCGAAGGTATATTACACACACACACACACACACATATACATATATATATATAAAAATATATTTTTGTGAGAATACCTTTCGGTGTTATGTTTATGTTTTGTGTATTATGTTTTTATGTATATTTATATAGTTGCCACTGAGAGTTAAGTTATATTTTCAAGTGTGGAATATAAAGTGTTTAATTTTTTTTTTTTTAATTTTGATTAAATGGCAGTATCAACTTTAAATATGGCGCCCTACTTCACTGCGTATCCCTTTCAAGGTGATGATAATTATTATTTTTTATATTATATTAGTCTGAGTGTTAACAAAAAATAAATAAATAAATAAAACTGGGGTCATGAATTAATGACGTAAATTATAATTTATTAAAGGGAAAATGCTGCGGTGTAGAATAAAATATTTGATTTTCGAATACTTTTAGCGGGGGAAAATGATAAAATTCTATTGATTATTGAGATTTATCACAATTTTAATTTTTATTATATCCGAATTATATATATAATTTTGAGTTTTCTGTTATTATTTAAGGTTTTTTTTGTTTTTGTTTTTTTGACTGGCGAAAACGTAATAAACAAATGATTTTATTTGATAATAAATAAATGATATTAGTTTAATAGTATAACAAAGGAAATAAAGGAACGTTTAAAAAAATACTTTTAAAGAGAGGTGAAATTAATTTTTTTTTTTCCAGGCAGGAAGTCCGAACGTGAAAAATTTACGTTTTTTTTTTTTTTTTTTTTTTTTTTAGTATATTAAGCGATAGTTTACCGATCTCGAGCTCCCTCCCCCACCTCCCCCTGCTGTTGCAAAACTTTATTTTATTTATATTTTCCAAAAAAAAATATTCTCAAAGACTAAACGTTGTATAAATTTTTAATACTTCCGTTGATTGTTTTTAGAAACTCAACAAATTCACAAATATTGATCAAATAAATTGCAAATTGAAAATGTTCGATTTCATTCGAGAACTCTCATTATTTAGATCGATTCAGATGTGATTGATTGATACTTTTAATTTTAATAATATATGTTGAGTCCCCTTCTATATGTTGAACGTATTGCAAGTGAAAACTAGGGAAAAAAAAAAAGAAAATCACAGGTCTTTACACTTCAAATTTTTTCGATAAAAATTAAAAAAGAAAAAAAGAAATAAAATTATTTAAATTTATCAAGATCGTTATTTTTTAAATATTTATGAATAATTAGAATGGAAGAAAGGAAAAAAATAATAATGTAGGCGTTCGGCGTCTTACAATGGAACAACGTTAAAAAACTTTTAGAAAAATTACAAAGGGTTTCCGATAGGCCAGTGGTTAGCATATTCGAACCGTTCACCATATCAAACCGTAGGGTCACGGGTTCGAATTCTAAAAAATTTTTTTTTCTAGAATTACACGTACTTGCTTATTTATAATTCCATTAAGCATTTTAGGCAGGCACTTCATTTGAGATAGCTCACCATCAAAAAAGTTTCTGTAGTCGGTAATAATTATTTAAAAAATTTATTTATTCTTTTTTTATTTTACCGCTGTAATCAATAACTGAACAGATCATAATAGAACCCGAATTTCAAGCCTTGAAATTAACTTAGATTGATTTTAAAAAAAACAAAAAAACTTTGAGGAATAAAGTATTTATTAATGCCTGGAATGAATTTTGAGTGAAAACAAAAGAACCCAAAACTTTTTTTTTTTGTTTTATTATGATGCGAGATTTTGTATTTTGTCTACTGTCACTCCTTGATAATAAAAATTATCTAAAAATTTACTTTAAGCAAGATTAAAAATTCGTTTTTATTTATTTATAAGCAACGATAAATAGGGATAACAATAATATAGATTAAAATTTTTTTATTTGCTGAATCAACAGTCAAAAAAAATAAATAAATAAATAATGAAAGGAAAAATATGTCGTTGCCTTTCTTATGGCATTTCTACGTGAAAATTTTTTCAATTCTTTCTTTCACAAAAGGCCATCAGTCAATTTTTTTTTTTTTTTTACCAAAGCTATTATGGTTGATTTTTTAATATTGGACATAATTAATAGGTATCAAAAGCACGTGCAAACAGACCTGATATTGTTGCCTGGCGGCTCCTTTCATGTTTTCGGATAATTTTAGAGTTTCGGTTACACCATCCCAATCATTATCTTTGAAAATGTTTTATTGTCTTCCTTCTGTCTTTGAATTTTTGTGAACGGACAATCGGTATAAAACTTTTTAAAATTAAACATTTGCATTTATCGAATTCTTTTTTTTTTTCTTTTTTTTTTTTTTTTGGCCACCACGACAAAGATTCCCTCAAAAGAATGTTAAAAAAAAAAATTTAATTTATCAATTTTCTAAAAAGGCGATTCGTGTTTTTTTTTTTATTAATTTTATTATTTGTTTCTGTATTTTAAATAAAAGAACAAAGAAATATTTTTATTTTTTATTTTTAAATATTTTTCACGTATAAAACATAAATTGATTAAATTTAAAACCTTTTCAATCTAGTCTTTCACGCTCCTCGGGAAATAACAAATATTATAAATAATATGTATATATTCTATTGTTTTCTCTTTTAATTCTCATAATTTTCTATTTCCTACAAAATATTATAGGAAAAAGGATTTCAAAATCAAAAATTAATTTATTATTCATTAAGTTTTTAAAAAGTTTAAAAAATTAATTAATTTTAATAAGAAAAAAAAATTTTTTTTTCTCCCTTTTTATTTAAAGGAGAAATATAAAAATCGATTTGCCCTCTTTCTCTAACACAAAAATCCTTTTATTTTTGCAAAAAAAAAAAAATTAAAATTGTGGAGTAGGTATTACCCTCATGACGTCATCGTCATCAATAATTTTTCTTTTTGCTGTTTTAAAAAACAAACAAACAAACAAACTTATTTAAAACATAAATCTGTGCGGTGCATGTTTGTTTGTTTCTTTTTGAGTAAATTTATTCAAAAAAAAAAGTGACATTTTTTAAATTTATTATTTATTTATATATATATATATATATATATATTTTTTTTTTTTCTCTACAAACATAATTATACATAATATTTAAATGAGAATAAAGTTTTTAAAGCTGTTAAGTAACATTTCGCATATTCCGCACGTTGAATTTATGTTGAGGTTTTTTTTTTCCTTTTTTATAATTTTTTACGCTCAACTGCTTTTTTTTTTTTTTTTGTGAAAAAAATAAGAGAATTTTATTATTATTATTATTATTTAATAACGATAAATCCGACAAACGATTTTATCCTGTATTCATTCATTTTCTCTTAAATGACGAATTCAAAAAAATTTAATATTAATAAAGGTGGGGGAAAAAAAATTTTATTATCCGTTAATGTTTTTGTGGGTATCCAATAAAGACGCACAGATTGAAAAAAAAAAAAAAGTAATAATGGACGACATGATAAATAATATTAATAACTTATCACTTTGATTTATATAAATCGTGATAAACACAGTTATTATTATTATTTCTTTTTAAACAATTTTATTGAACAAGGTGTTACATTGGTTTTAAAAACCAAAGTTTCGTTTTATGCTTTGCGAAAAAAAAAAATTAATTATTATTATTAATTATGATTAAATAAATAAATAAATAGATAAGAGAACGAAAAATAATTATTCAAATTTTTACCAAAAATTACGTTTTATTGAAAAAAAAAAAACGTGTATGTGAGCGCGCGCGTCTTTGGGGGAGTGTTAGTTAGTATGCAAACGATTTTTTTTTTTTCAATAATAAAAATAATAAAAAAATTTAATAAAATTAATCGTGTTAAAATTCTTACCGAATAAAGGTTTGTTTAAAATCATATTTAATATACGATATCAGTGGTGTTAAATATTTACCACGGCGCGAGTTTTTTTTTGTTAAACGAGGGGAAAAAAAATTCTTATTATTATTATTATTTTTTACAAATCCATGATGAAAACTATTTTTTACACGCAGGGCAAGGTCGAGTAAATCAATTAGGAGGCGTTTTCATAAATGGTCGACCTCTTCCAAATCACGTGAGGCTTAAAATAGTGCAAATGGCTTCGGCGGGTATCAGACCGTGTGCGATATCGCGACAACTTCGGGTATCACACGGTTGCGTGTCGAAAATTCTTAATCGTTATCAGGAAACAGGAAGCGTGAGACCGGGGGTCATTGGGGGTAGCAAACCTAGAGTCGCAACTCCAGAAGTAGAGAAAAGGATCGAAGATTACAAAAAATCAAATCCGGGAATATTCAGCTGGGAAATCAGGGATAAATTAATAAAGGTAAAAAAAATCGGAGTTTTAAGTCATTATCATTCGTGATACAAAAAAAAAATTTTGATTTTTAAATTTTTGTTTTTTTTTTTTGTTGTTAAATTGTCAGGAAGGAATCTGTGATAAAAATAGCGCGCCTTCAGTATCATCAATCAGTAGATTGTTAAGAGGAGGAAGACGAGATGAAAATGATCCTAGAAAAAATCATTCAATTGATGGAATATTAGGTAAGATGTGAGCCTTTTAATTATACTAATATTATTAAATTTTTTAAATTGAATTATACTAATATTAATGTCGAGGGAGATCACCGTAATCATCGAGTGCTTTATTTTAATATTTTTTAATAAAACAAAAAAATAATTATTAATTAATATTTATTATTAAATTAATATATTTTGCGCGCGCCCGTAATTTTCGTGTTTTTTTTAATTGATTATTATAAAATGGGCTTTAAAGTTGGATCACAAATGGAAATTATTATTTTACATCGAGATTTAAAGATAATTTTTTATTTTATGCACATGAGAAAATTAATTAATTGTTTTATTACCTTTTTCGTTTTAATTTCAATTGAAATTTTAAAAAATAAAAAAATATTTTTAAAAAATTATTAATATTTTTTGTTTTTGCTTTTTTTTCAATTTTTTACCCGCCAAACAAACAACCGAGTCCAAACATGTTAAGATCCAAAAAATTTTCTTAAAGTTTTATTTAATTTTTTTTATAACATGTAAAATCATAAATTTTTTTTTTTTAAAAGATTTTCTTTAATAATAATTAATCAAAAGAAAAGAAAATAAATTCACAAAACATAAAATGTTTTGAAAAAAAAAAAAAAAAGATTTTAAATTTTGTTAATTATTAAATAAAGGTCCCAGCAGTGGAGAAGAATCAGAAACTGAAACAGAACCTGGGATTCCTCTTAAAAGAAAACAAAGAAGAAGTAGGACGACATTCACTGGAGAACAATTAGAAGAACTCGAAAGAGCTTTTCAAAGAACTCAATATCCGGATGTTTACACTCGCGAGGAATTAGCGCAAAAGTAAGTGTTTATTATTATTATTTAAAACATTATTTTTTGTCAACTTTTTTTCTTCTATCATTAAAAATAATAACTATTGACAAGTTTTGAAGCTTTTCTTCTATAAATACTTGACGTGACGTATCGAGTATCAAAACAATAGACCCAAAATTTGAAAAAAAAAAAAAAAAATCAACGGCGTGTCTTGAATTTTTTTTTTTTTTTCATCTTCAGATATGATTAATGGCACAGCAGGAAAAAAAATCTTTTTTTTTTTTTTTGTAATTTTTCTCTTTTACTTTTCTATCATCCCATCCTTTTTAAATAATAAAAAATAACGAAAACAAAAAATGAAATAAATTTTATTTTTAGTATGAAACGAAATCAAAACAAAACAAACAAAATATAGGTATTACCCATAATAATAATAATTATTATTAAAGTAAATTTATTGAATCATTCAAATTCATCTAAGATTATATATCATTACAATCACTTTTCCAAAACAAATCATTTTATTATTTATATATTAAAATCCATAATTAAATGATATATATTAGTTTTTAAAACGAAATTAATAAATATTTTTTATTTTTTTTAATAAGAACTAAACTGACGGAAGCCAGAGTCCAAGTTTGGTTTAGCAACAGGCGCGCAAGACTACGAAAGCAAATGAATAGTCAGCAATTAAACGCATTTAATTCAATGTCGCTTCAAACGTCATTTCCGTCTCAGTATTCCGTTCCCGATCCAACGGCTAATTTCACTTCTCAGAGTAAGTATATTCTTTTTTCTTATTATTACTTCTTAAGGTATATTAATCACAATAAATTTAAAAGAAACCGTGCGACGTTGTTATAGAAAATAAATAAAAATAGATTGCGGTTTAAAATCCTAACGATATATTAACGTATCACACCATGATTGCACACCCACACACGCACACGCACACACACACGCATGCACGTTAAAAACACAATTTTTTTCTCCTCCCACTTCAAAAATTGTGCCAAAACATGTGGCATAAATATATATATATATAGAGGTGGAGCCTGGTAAGAAATTCGCCAACCAGAAACTCGTTTTATTATTCCCCCTAACGCAAACGTAAAAATACATTTTTAAAAACAATTTTTTTTGTTTGTTTTATTCTTTGGAGAAATCTTTTTCCTTTTTCATTTTACCTTTTAATATTACAAAAAAAATACTGATAATTTACATTTGATTAATTTTAAAAAAAAAGGAAAACGAATTGATTTTTTATAATTTTTTTTTTAAGGTCACACAGCACCTTCTTGGGCGCAACAAAGCGCGGTTGCTGCCGGATACGCTGCTGGCGCTCTTGGCAATTACAATGGATCCCCATATTCTACGACTACGGTGACTTCGGGGGATCCGAATTCTTCATTACCTGCCAATGCGCCATCGCCATCTTCTTCGCATCCCCAATTTCCAGTTTATCATCAAACTGCTGCCACGATGATGGGAAGTAATCCTTGCGCGGTAGGAGTCGGTGCTCACCACCAGGGCACTCCCTGGACCAGACATCACACCGCCGCTCCTACAGCATCAACAAAAGACGTCACTTCCGCTTGGACCGATAATTACAGGTAACTACTTTATATTATATAAATTTAAATGTGTCGCAGAAAACAAATTTTTTTTTTTTGTTTTAATCATTTAATATTCGTATTCGAGAAGGGGGGGGGCGAAAAATTTTTTTTAATACGTAAAAAAAAAAACATTAAAAAAACGGGATGGGTGTGCATGGTAATAATATGTGTTATATTTAATATATATTATTACTTTTTAAAAATCCATTGTCCCCGGTTTTTTAAAGAATTGATTTTTGAATAATTTGTATATAGAACATGGATTTTTTAAGAAAATAATAAATTTTCATTCAGTTATTCCGCGACGTGAATAATCAAAATTACAAATTTTAACGGGTTTTTTTTTTTTTATTTAATAATTTTTTAAAATACAACTATTATGTCCGACGAGAAATTGCATTGCTAGGTGCCATTTTTTTTTCTATATAAATTCTTTGGTTATTTTAGAAATAATTTTGTTATCATGTCCGCGTTATCGGTAAATAAAAAGAAAATTTTTTTTTCTTTCCGTGAATTTTCGCGCTCATACCTAGAAACGTTAATTGAAATCGATTGGACAGAAATTAATACGAGTACCGGTTCTCCTAATGACCGATCGACCGACCGACCAACCGACCGGTTCATCATTTTATTTTCCCAGGCTTGGCGAAAAAATCAAAAAAAAAAAAATTAATAAGTCAACAATTGAAAGTTTCATTAATTTTTGGGCGTTACGGTCGGACATTGGAATATCGCAATAATTGTCGGTCACAAATCTATTACTTTGATTTTCTGTACCTGTTTTCCCGCACGGTAATAACACGTTGTTTGTCCGACCATGAGAAAATGCAAATACCCAATCTACTTTTAATTTTATTAATATAGTTATTAAATAACAGAAGATCGGTAGCCATCAATTTATTGTCAGATGAACTCCTTTCGGCAACTTCATTACGGCGTACCTTCTCGAATCCAAAAAGAGAGAGAGAGAGAGAGAATAATTGAAGTTTTTTTTTTTTTTTGTTGCCTCCTACAACGTGACGGGATACGTTGTAACATTTTAATTTAACAGAACTGCTACTACTACTAATACTACTAATGTCATTTAAAAAAGGATTATTTAGTAAAATAATTATTATTGAGACGACGATGATGATGACGATTGTGCTTTTTTCTTTTTTTTTTTTTTTGTTTTTAAAAATTTCGAAATTAAAAAATTTCTCACCGGTATGATCATAGTTTTTTCCACCACCACCACATCATCGTGATGATGAGAAATCGTGATTGTTGTCGTTTCGGTCAATTATTTTTTTCTTAAAATTGAAATGAAATATATAATGGCCGTTCGTTTTCCTCGCACAGGTCTGCAAACTACTTTGGTGGTAGAGCGAGAATTAATTTAAACCCGATGGGGTATGGTTAACGTGGTAGCGGAAGAAGATTAATAACCTAATGCGATGTAACCGGTAGCGGTAATAAAATAATGATAACACGGTCTGGCAAAGAATCATTTTTTCTTCATCTTCTTCTTTTTATTATTATGGGTTAGTTTAAAATTAAAGAATAACGTTGAGAGTTTTGCCCGTATGAAAATTCTTACACTTTTGCGGCATAAATCTCATCGGGGATGGGAAATTAGAGGTCACGAGGTCGCGAGGGTCACAAAGTGTACATTTTAAATTAACTCAATTTATTCTTTTTTTTTTCTCTCTTTTATTTATGAAATATATTACAAAGCAATAAATTATTTCGCAATCAATCATGAAAATTTTACAAAAAAACATTTCTTTTTTATAAAATAACAACAATGCAAATAAAATATGACGAACCACGGAAAATGTACTTTTAAAAAAATAAAAATAAAAATAAATAAATACAGTAAAATTTTTGATTTTGATGAAAACAAAAATCGTGTGAAAAAAAGGAAAAAAAAAAAAAATATATAAATAAATGGTTTCAAGGTAGGTGTTGAAAATTTAAACTCGCATTTAGGAATTCAGGTTTTCAAAGGAATTTTATCGATAAAATATAGTTCGAGTTTTATTTTATATTCAAAACATTATATATATTAATGTTTTTAAATTATTAATATCCCGTTAATAGTTCGTTTATTATTATTATTATTAGTCACCATAAGTTTTACTTAATTAAAAATTAATAATAATTTTTATTCGAAATTAATTAAAAAAATATTTATTCTTTTCAAGTTATTATTAAATAACATCAATCAAATAATTAATAATCAATCATCACGTCCCACCCACCAAATTTTAATGCGCAAACAATTTCATAATGAATAATTTTAAAAAACCATAATGAAATGAAAAAGGTACGTGAAAATTTTTTTATTTTCACAGGTAAAAATACGGCACTTATTATCACACGCAGAGACGATTTCGAAAATCGTTTTTTTTTTTTTTTTTTTTTTTTTAAAAAAAATTAAGTAAGCGACTCATTAAATGTATGACATCGTTGGTAGAATTATTTATTATTAATATTTATGTGGCATCAAAAAAAATTTAAAAAAAAAAACGTGGATACCCATCCGTCCGCCGCCGCGGCTAAAAAAAAAAAAAAAAAAAAAACAATTTCGAAACCATTCATCAAAATGATTTTTCTTCGAGTATTCGACTCTCTGTCAAAAACAAACTTTAGAGTGATTTTTCAAACGAATTGATCACGTTATAAAAAATTTTCTTTATTTTTATTTGTAAATAATGCGATTGAAAATAAGTACTTATTGGAGTACTTTTGTTAAACCGAAAAAAAAAAAAAAAAAACGAATCATTTTAAATTCAGGTTTAACCCTGTAATTCGCTTCGGGACGTAACCGTGATTTAAAAAAAAAATCGAACTTGGCACGAATCATCGAAAGAATGTTTATTAAAACTTTTCTTTTTTTTTCCGTTAATATATGAGTATATATATACATATTTTTATGAATTGATTTCAGTACCATTTTCGGAAGTGCTGCAGCGGCAGCAGCCAGCCATTATAGTGCGGCAAGTTTAACTCCTCATTCGCCGTCAGAAGCCAAATCCGGATATCCTTATTTCGGACAATTGAGCAGCATGGAAACGGGACTCTGTGGAAGAGTGCACTGATAGATAAATAAACGGTTTTTTTTTGAAAAAGAATAAAGTGCCGTATTTTTTTTTTTATTTTTTCCTGCTTCTGACATGAATATAAAAATGACTCGGAAAATATATTTTTTCTAAGTGAAATTAAATAATAAATGCAACACAACAAACACATGCATAATTAAAAGTAAGGAAATTTTTTCGAAAAAAAAATTTCATTTTCGAACCAATCCAAGATTTAATAAAAAATAATTATAATAAATTTTTTAAAAACTTACTCGCTTGTAAAAAAAAAACGGAATTTTTACGGTAGAAAAATTTAATTTAAAAAGACTTTTTTTTTTTAATTCCATATTGAATTCGTTTTTATTATATTATTTAAAAGGAAAATACGTTTTTTTTTTTTTTGTAATTTGTTTAAACGGTTGATTGAATTCATAATCACGTGTAAAATGATAATAATAATAATAATTGTAATTATTATCAAAACTATTAATATTATTATTTTTTAAAAAAATTTAAATAAAATATAATTAATTAAAATTTTTTTTGTTAATTTTATATATCGTGATGCCTTTATCAAAAAATTCCTTTGAAATTCTATTTATTTATTTATATAATAATTGATTTAAATGAGATGAAAAAAAATAAATAAGTAATTTATTTAATATCATTAATTAAATTAAAAACTTGATTAAGTGAAAGAAGGAGAAAAAAAACTCATTATTTTTATTTTTTTCCACGCTACAAAATTAATTCAAATTTTAATTTTTATTTATCATTATTATTATTATTGCATTGTTTCCCTTTTATTTGATGAACACACGTGCGAGTTTAAATGGGATGAGAGTAATTATATATTATAATAAAAAATTTTATTTAGATTAAAGAGAATTTTTCTAACGTAAATAGACAAACGTAGGTTTTTTTATTTTTTTATTTTTTTCTATGTGGATTTTTTTTTTTTTTTTACGTAAAAAAATTCACGTGTGGTGTATGAAAAAATTAATTTTTTTTTTTTCTTTTTTATACGTGCACATTATCGAATATTCAAAATCTTTCTTTTCAAATGACTGACCGATTCTTTCCCACGTACGACATAAAAAAAAAAAAAAAAAAAAAAAATTAACGTGACTTATATCGGGACAATATAGCGTTCTCTCCTCATACCTTGACAACAACAAAAAAAAAAAAACAAATTTATTTATATATAATTCTCACAGATGAAAAAGTCAAAAAAAAAAAAAAAGAAAAAAATTGACCTAAATAAAAATGGTGGTTTCTATGATCTCACCCAAGAGACAAAAAAAAAACGACAGCAATTTTTTTTTTTTTTTTTTGTACGGGATTTTATAGTTAAAACTTATTTGCTTTTCTAATTTTCTGCATTTAATAAATCATGGCGGAATATTAGCAAAGGAGAACTTTTCCACGTTCGTTTCCATGGAACGTATACGGGTTTTTAAATATTTGTATAGTTAAACAGAAATTCACCACCCTCCCTGTGTGTGTGTGTGTGTGTCCTTTTGTGTGCATTTTTTTTAAGAGGGTAAGAAAAATCACTGACTTTGACTTAGCTTTCATTTAAAAATTATCCCTATTAATTTAATGTTCTACAGCTGCAAAAATGGATAGCTAAATGTAACTTTTAACCATTCGTAAGGTAATAATGAGAATAAAAAGAAAACTTACCCGAAAAAAAAAAAGTAGCACAATAGGGGGAAAAACTTTACAAAAAAAAATCGTTACACTTCACGGTGAATTTTCGCGATTTAAATTTTATTTTCAAAAATGAGCGCCATCATTCTTTGACCAGCCATTTTCACGCTTCCGAGGGGGAAGAGTTTAAGAGAAGAAGAACCCTAAAAATTCATTGTTAAAAATTCACCCTAAAATCCATGAATTGGCTTTAGAGTAAGGGTAGCTTTAGCTTTATACCTTATTAGTAAATTTTATTTGAATAGAACAGGAAATTGCAATTTTTTTTATATAAATGTATGTGTAAGGTTTTTCAATCTGCATATTAAGGTTTTTTTTTTTCTTTTGTTATTGTCAGAGTTAAAAATGGCGAAAAAGTTAGAATGTGTCAAATCGTATGAATAATAGACGACATTTTGTAAATCAATTAAAAAAATATTAACGAGCAAAAATTTTCCTGTTGTCAATAAAAAAAGTTTAACCAAATGGGATAAAAATAAAAAAATTGTTTAAACGAGGTTTTTTATTGTTGTTTCGTTGTTTATTTTTTTTTTTTAAATGTTGGAAATTCACAAACAGTAATTAATTAAGAATGATTCTAAAAAAAAAAAAAAAAAAAAAAAAAAACTCGTAAATTTTATTTTTTATCATATTACTGAAAAGTGATAAAAAAAAAAAAATTATTATTTTTGGCTAGTAGTAGTAATAGCGATGGATGGTAGCAACACGTTTAAATATAAAAAAAAAAAGTAACGAAGGAAACTAAAAGTTAGTTACTTAATGTTATTGATTGATTGATTGATTGAATCCTTTTTTTTACTCATTCGCCATAAAGAAACGATGCAAAGTTATTCGGCGCAAAACTTTTACCGTCCGCGTAACGTTTATCGCTTTAATGTTTATTGTGTAGTTTATGGCCAATTTTTCGGTCACGAATCTTTCTTATGCTCTTTTATTTTCATGGTTTGAAAGGGGTAGAATCGTCATTAATAACAAAAAAAAAAAAAAAAAAAAAAATCAGTCGATGTCCTCCGATAACCTGAATTCGAAACCGCTATTTTAAACACGCGGAAACCCCGTACGTACGTCTTTCAATTTTTCTTTTTTTTTATCAATAAAATAATAATAATAATAATAATCAAATTCGAGTATCGAGTCAATATTTTAAAATAATAATAATAATTATTTTCTAATTATAAATGTGATAAATGTATTTCTTTCACCAGGTGTAATTTCTTCTTAGTCTTTTCATTTAAAATTCTATCTATATCTAAACAGTAAACAAAAAAAAAGATTATCGGGTATTTAAAGTATTAATAGAAAAAAGGATAAATGTAATAATAATAATAATAATAATAATCTTTCGGGTAATAAAATAAAACTTTTGGAAGTGTTAAAAAAACAAGTATCGATAAATAACTGAACGTCTGATCGTTTTGCGTGTGGTCGTGGTTTTTTTTTTTTAAATAATTAAAAATCTGTTGGCAAAGAAAAGAAAAAAATTTATTTTTTTAAATAAATAAATAAAAATCGAATAAACAAATAAAATTTTTTTTTATTAAATTGATACAAAAATGATAAATTAATAATATTAAATTATTATTTATTTATTTTTTTCATTATTAAAAAAAAATTCATCAAAAAACCGACCACACAAAATTTTATTTTATTAAACTTAACTTTCTCTCATTATTATTATTATTATATTTTAAAAATCTCATACGAGTATGGCTATTGCAATTTAATATTTGAGTCGTCGAAATTCTTTGTGAAGAGAAGGAAAACCGCCGATGGCGGATCATCGGATTTTGCAGGATCGGTAAATTGCAGCCGTGCCTGTTTTTAAGTCATGCATATTACCGATCCATGAAGTTAAAAATTTATCTGATTCGACTTTCTTTCCTTCTTTTCTTTTTATCATTTTTTTTTTTTTTATTGCTTCGGCCTGTGATTTTGCAGACACGAAGATTAATTAATATTTCCAATGGGCGAACCTTTTTTATTTTTTTCCCTGCACACTTTTTTTTTTTACGAGACATAAAAAAAAAAAAATGTTTTATTAATTACTTTATATCGTTTCTTTTTGTATTGAATTTTTTTGTCTTTGTCGTTTCATTTGTCTTTCGATGAGTTTCGTATGCGGTTTTTAAATTTACTTGAAAAAAAAAATCATATATATATGTGTGTGTGTGTGTGCGTGCGCGTGTGCGTGTATTGGTAAAAATTGGGCGTCGCATCAATGAAAAAATATACTCGCGTCTATTTTTTTTTTTTTTTTTTTGGACGGTTAACGTTTCATCGTTATTTGCCTCGAGAAAATTTTTACTAAAAAATGGTATAATACGTACATAAATACATTTGAAATAAAGGTGAGCCGTTTTTTTTTTTTTTTTTTTTTTAAATCAGATGAATTTTTAAAAAAAAAAAGTAATCCCGATCGAAAACGACCACGTAGAATATCGTAAAAAAAAAAAAAAATAAAATAATAATAATAATAAAGCCCGAGAAGTTTGTAGACTCCTTGAAAATGTGATATGAAAAATGATAATATGATGTATGCGGGCTAATAGTCGGAACGCCCCCGCGCAGGCACGCAGGTGTGAGTGAGGCTAACGTGTCGGCTGACAGACCTTGTAATTTACTCAGATTAAATACCTGTAATTAGATTAGGCAGCGAGTGAGAACTTTGGAAAGAGAGAGAGAGAAAGAGAGAATAAAATAGAGAAAGAAAGAAAGAGAGAGAGAGAGAGAGAGAGAGAGAAAGAGAGAGAGAGGAGGAAAACAGATTACCTCCGATAATAAATCACGTGGTGTCACTCCCCCATCACCACAACATTTTTTTGAAATCTTGTTTTTGTATTTTTTACGAATTGTTATATGCGCGCCTTTCGAGGACTTCACGTACGACCAATTCACTGCATTTTTTTTTTTTTTTTTTTTTTTTTTTTACCTGTCATTTATCGATAATATTTTAAATATTTCAAACTTTACACACTCTGGAACTTTGTTCTTTCGTTTTCCACGACGTTACGACGTTTTTCTTTTTTTTTATTTATTGTCTCAAAATTTAATCGAGAAACAATCTTTTGACGAAATTCGAAAACTATTAAAAAATTCTTTTTAATTAATTACCGCAAGTGAAGTTTTTAAACTTTTCACACTTTTATTAATTAATTCGTTTTTGCAATATTTATTTTAAAAAAACCAACGACGCGCGTTTGTTCTTTAGATAAACAAATTTTCCGACTAACAAAAATTTTTTTCTTTTTTTTTTTTTAAATTTTCACGTCTTATGTCTGCCTGAAAAAAAAAGAAAAGTTTCAGGC